CAAGTTTTCCGTCGTCGGGCCTGATTTGCAGAATATTGGGTTCGATCGGGAGTTTATCCGGTGCGCATTTTCGAGTAACGACTGCGAGTTCCCACGTCATAAAAAAAAAAAAAAAAAAGTATATATATGTAATATTTTATTTAAAAATTCATTTTATATTACATTTTTTGGGTTCGTTTACTTTTTATGTTTGAATAAATGTATTTTATTAAGTATAATAAATCATGTCGGTACTATAAAAAATAATAATTTTTGTTGAATTATTAATTTTTGTGAATGAATAAAGTATATACTCCCTCTCTTCGAGTCGAAGGTACTTATTTGACTTTTGCACGCGGTATAATAGTATTTTATATATATGTAGTGTAACAGAATAATGTAAAATTTATTTGACCTTTCGTATTAATGAAACTAAAAGAATAAGAACAATAAGCAAGAACTATTTTATTATTTAATTGAGAGATAATTTACTAAAAAGAAAAACAAATATATTTGACTCAGACGAAAGAAAATAATATATATTGCATTAATGTACAGCGACAGAATTGGTTGTAAAATTTCAAAGAGAGATATTTATTTATATCGATTCAATGTTATATTTTTTTATTTTTTCCCGACACAGATAAAGAAAATAAAAACAATGTACAAAGATTAAATAATTAAAGAAAAATTCAACAAAATTATATAAACTTTAATACTCCATCCGTCCACTTGTAAAGTTTAATTTATTTTTTGCGTGTTGATATTTGAATATTAATTATTATATCAAAACGTAGTATAAATTAAAAAAAAATGACAAAAATACTTATATTAGTGTCTTATAATACTAATAGAACGACGTTTATAAAAGAATCATATACATATAAATAAATGTAAATTTATTAAGTGGACGGAGAGAGTATTTTTTACTAAAATAAAAAATAAATAAATAAAATAGAAGTGCAAAGAACAATCACAAAAATATTATTCTTTACACTAAAAAAAAAAAAATTAAAAGAAAAGGACAAATTAATTCAAAATACATAATTTTATTAATTTTACCCTTAAAAAAAAATACTACTATTGTATTTTCTTATAATATTATTGAAAAATCATGCCACTAAAAAATACAAAATGAACAATGTATTAATAATAAAAACATGTGCATAAAATTTTTATTAAAATTTATTATTCTGTTAATTTGAAATTTGATTTCATTTTGTTTACTATATATTTCTTGCATCTTAAATCAAATACATTGAATCAAAATTGTGAGGGTCAAAGTCAACACCAACATTTAATCAAGATGTGTGTAACCAAGGTGTGTTTCTTTGTAATATATATATATATGTATAAATAATTTTTATAATATTAACTTGCAGTCATTTTTATTTTTTATTTTTATAACCTGAGAATTCGCGTAATTACCTTTCGGTGTATTTTTGGTGAAATTTTAATCGAATCTAATAGCCTGTAAATTTTTATTTTTTAAATTTTAAAAACACTTTTGTTTTTTCTTTACAATTGCAACATTTTAAGTTGTTCTTTCAAGAACAACCTCGAACAATTTTATACATATTTTTATTTCAAAACTCAATGTTTTTTTTTAAAAAAAAAAAATTCGTACAAGGGTAAGTTATATTGCACATCCTTGTATTTTATGAAAATAAAAATAAAATTAAAAAAAAATACGTACCTTGCATGAAACTCTATTGTATAAGACAAAATATCATTTTCGTCCAAAAATAACAATAATTAAGAATTTAAGATGAACATATATTTTAATCTTTAGACAAGAATCACATGATTAGGAAACAATCTATCAACATCAAACTTTTTTTTTTTTTTTTTTTTGGAATGGACTATTATATTAAAATTTTCAATATGTTTATTTTATAGAATATATGATCATCTATGCGATAGGCATGTAATTCTTAAAAAATTACAACATAAATTTTATCTAATTTTTAAATAAAATTGGAGAAATAAGTTATCAATCCAATTTATTTTATTTGTTTTTATTACTAAAAAGTTCTAATAAAAAAAATTACAATGTTTATTTCCATTCAATACAAAGTTATTTTCATAATAGTGTTTAATTCTTATTCGTGACTACTTTTGGACAATAATAATATTCTCTCTATCATTCACATTTATGTATATTTTCATTATTTGATTGTCATCGATTTTTTTTCTTCTTTTCTTATTTGGTAAAAATATACTATTTTTTCTATTTTTTATTTACTATAATTTGTTATTTTTTTTTATCTATTTTTCTTAAAATTCATTTCTGGTCAAATAAACATACATTTTAATAAGGGATTGAGTACATTATGCAATTTACCCACTCTATATACAATGACAAATCATTGAAGATTTTAGTAAAATTTCGAAGTATTTGAAAGAACTTCTCTAATAATATAAACTTCTAATTATTATAGTTCCAAATATTTTTTGATATTTCAAATATCAAAACTGACATGGATGTAAAAAAACAAGAGAAACTAGAAAGGTTTTGTAAGAAAAAAAACTTTCGAAAACAAACAGAAAATTGTTGAACCCAAATGGTGTGTTTGTTTTGTGAAATTGTTGGAAAATAATTTTTTTGATGTAAAATATAGAAAATTGTGTATGAAATATAAAAATGGTGAATATGTGTAGTGTATTATCTTTTTTTGAAAAAATATGTAAAATAAAATTGTTAAAAGAATAAGAACAAGTTTTTCGAAAAATCCTAATGCTCTTATACCAATGTTGTATTTTGATACAAAAAACTTGAAATAAAAACGAATCAAACACATTTTTAAACTTAAATGTTTGTATTGAATCGAACCAAAGTAATAAATATGAATTTGTAAAAATGTTTGCAGTGTTGAGAATGATTCAAATAGTCAAGTAGGTAACCACTAAAATAGAAAGTGGTTGACGAGTCAATAACAAAGTCAGAAATTGTTAGCTTTATCCCTATTTCTCTGCATCAATTTGTTTAATTTTTTTTAGTCTACTTGGGAAATGCCTATATATGGCTGCACTGAATTATCAATAAAATAGAGATATTTGTTTAATATATTCTTATGGTGTTCTTGTGATCTGTTGCCTCTAACATTTCTGATATCAGAGCTAGATTTACAAACTTAGGCTCCTCAATTAGCCTACTGAAAAAGGCGTCAAGCATTATGAATGCTTCCCAACAAAAAATTCTCATCTTCAAAGGTGATGCATATAAGTTTTTGAGTATCAAACTGAAGACCTTGTTCAGGTCACAAGATCCGTGGGAATTTATTGAAAATAGAATCTCTGCAACACATCAAGATGATAAGGAAACAGTCAAGAACGATGCAAAAGCCTTATTTCTCATTCAGCAAGCCGTCAGGCAATTTTCTCACGGATCGCCACTGCAACTTCAACAAAGAACGCATGGGATATCCTCAAAACTGAATATCAAGGACCTGCAAAGGTAATTACAGTAAAATTGCAATACCTCATAAGAGATTTTGAAATAGTAGTCATGAAACCTAATGAGGCGATACAACACTATCTTGCTAGGATTTCGGCTATTGTCAGCCAAATGAGAGCATATGGTGAGAATGTGGACAATGTTACTGTTGTGTCCAAGATCTTAAGAAGCTTACCTCATAAGTTTGATAATTTAGTTACAGCAATAGAGTAGTCTAAAGATCTATCTACTTACACAGTGGATGAACTCATGGGCTCTTTACAAACACATAAAGTCAGAATTAACAGAACCGCGGAAAAAGAATAAGAACAGGCCTTCCAAATGCAGGGGGAGCAAGCATGTGTTGCATCAAACCGGGGCAGAGGTAGTGCTACGTCTCGAGGAAGGGGACGTGGATGGATGAGTATGATTCAATGCACTCACTGCAAACGTTATGAGCATAAAGAGAATGACTGTTGGAGTAAAGAACCGTGCACCTACTGCAACAAGTACGGACATAAAGAAAAAGACTGTTGAAGTAAAGATACGCAAGTGCAATACAAATGAGAAAAAGACTACTTATTCATGGCGAAGATAGGCCCTCAAACCTTCTCTGATGAAGTCTGGTTTCTTGACAGTGCATGCTCAAACCACTTAACAGGTGATAAGAAAAAATTCAAAGAACTCGACGAGATACACAAATCACATGTTAAACTTGGGGATGATAAACAAGTTCAAATTGAAGAAAAATGAAATGTTGCTATCAACATTGGTGGGCACACAAAACTAATTAAGAATGTTAACTACGCTCTAGGTTTAGCCCATATTTGACAAGCGTAGGATAGTTGATTGATTTTGAATATTTTGTGACATTTGAACAAAATGCTTGCATGATCGAGAAAAGAATTGGTGAAGTGCGGCTGGAAGCCAATATTTATTTATATCATGACAAAAAAAAAAAATTAATTAAAACTTTGAAAAAAAAATACTTATAACTCACTTGTGATTTAAAAATTTCCATCATTCTCACTCATAATTTTCATAATCTAAAAATTGCATTAACCCTCTTGTACTATATTTTCAAAATACAAAAAAATTTCATATAATTTTCAAAGAATTTTATGCAATATTAAAAAAAAAGAAAACACTCGTTCTTCATCCGTCTCTTAACACTCTATCTATTTTTATATTTTAGTTTGTCACATAACAAAATATTCATTTTTTTTTTTTAGTAATTGTACTATCTACCTAACGTTACAAATATTTTTATAATTTACAAGATATTATACAAATATCATTATTTTTATATTATACAATACTAATATGATTAATTTAGTTTTTTTTCATCTTTATTTATACTACATCACAATATATACTAATACTTTTAAAACTTCGTGCAAAAAGTAAAAATGATAGATAAATATAAGACAGATGAAATACAATTTTTAATCTATAAAAAAATATATAATCTAAAATTTTCACAACCTAGACAAGCCCTTATATAACAATAGAAATTTCCTGTTGGCGTGAACATTACCTCCTTAATTTGTCTTCTTCATTAATTCTCTCTCTTCGCCGGCGGCGGAATATTCCGGCAAAGTTCGAATTCCGATGGGACGGAGTCCGTGCTGCGACAAGACAGCTGGACTGAGGAAAGGGAAATGGACAGCAGAGGAAGATGAGAAGCTCATTAATTACATCAGCATCCATGGCGACCAAGGCTCCTGGAGATCCCTCCCCCAAAATGCTGGTAGGTAATGGATGTTCAATTTTCATATAAGTTTTGGAATTTTGCCAAAAAAGAAAAAAATTTAATATTTATGTAAGATAGAAAATAAAAATAAAAAATATTTCGTATATATTTTTTAAAAATATATACTACATCTCTCCGTCACAGTAAACTTCTCATTTATATTTTTCGTCATTATTTTTAATATTAACAATATATTTTATATTTGTATAATTTTTTTATATATATAAATCTCATTGTATTAGTATATAAAACAGTAATAGAAATATTTTCGTCATTTTCTCTTAATTTATATTATATTTTAATATAATAATTAATATTCAAAAATCAATATTAAAAAAATAAATAAATGGAAACAAAAGAAGTATTATATATATATATGTATGTATAAACAAAGCCTAATTCAACGAAATATAAGTTAGTGATATATGGGATACTTTGGAAAATATATATATATATATATATTGAATAAAATAAATAAATTAGGTGTATTTTTTTTTAGTATTTTAATTTGACCGTATTTTTTCACATTAATTCTAATGAATTGCAACGATAATATAAAAAATAATTTTATATGAAAAAATAAAATAGATATTATATAAATTATATGAATGTAAATATATAAAATAGTTTTTTTGTAATATTATTGATAAATAATATCAAAAAAATTAAATATTGATAGGTCTGCTCCGATGTGGAAAGAGTTGTCGATTGAGATGGATGAACTATTTGAGATCAGATGTGAAGAGAGGCAACTTTACTCGTCACGAAGAAGAGACAATCGTCAAGCTTCATAATTCACTCGGAAACAGGTATCATTATTTCTCGATATATATATATATTAATTATATTTCGAGTCGAGTTGAGTATCTCATTTTCCGAAACAACTCATACACTTACTTACGTAATCAATCTTACTTCAATAACTATATATTAAAAATAAAAAAAAATTTATTAAATCCACGATGTTCGATTTATTAAATTTGACATTCGATTAATTAAATTTATTTAGCTTGATAATATTTTTTTAAATTTTATTTTTGAAAATAATGTCTTGAGATGTAATTTTTGTAGTTATTTTACTATTATATTGTAAAGTACATTTTATATTATAATTGAAAATAAATTATATTATCTTAGTCCCCTAAAAATATTCTGATTTACAAAAAAAAATAATAATATTTTTTATGAACGGAAAAGTAATTCTTCTTCTGTCCACTTACAATGTCTACATATTTCTATTTTGGTACGTTCAATTACAAAGTTAATATTTCATTAAATACCCTACTTTTTTCCACAAATACCCTTATTTTACATCACATCATTACTTTTACACAAAAAAAAGTAAAGGCAAAAATGTCATTACATTACTTTTAACTACAAACTATAATTAAAATACTATTATTTCTTAAACACCGCGTCAAAAGTAAATATAAACTTTGTAAGTGTACAGAGGAAGTATTTGTGTGAGGAAAAAATTCATATATTTTTTTATGGAAATAGTATAGTATTGAATTAATTAGCACTGTGCAAATTAATCTATTCAGTATATAAAAATATTCCAAATAATACATGTTGCATTGATTGTTAGTATGTACGGTCAATTTTAATATATATATTGTGTTAATATATATTCCTTTCGTCTCTTAATAATTTATTTATTTATTTATTTTCGTCTGTCCTGTAACAAAGTATCTATTTTTTTTAGTAATTATACCATCTACCTAATGTTACAAATACCCTTCCAATTTGCAATATATTACACAAATGTCATTATTTTTATATCATACGATACTAATAAGGGCAATTTAGTCTTTTTTTACTTTTACTTCTACTATATTCTAATATAATAATAATATTTCTAAAAATTCGTACAAAAAATAAATAGATATATAAATATGAGACGGAGAGAGTATTATGTTTTGATATTAAGAGTACTATATGTTGTATGATTACTATCATATGTTGTTTATGTATTTTATTTATATTAAATTAACATATATCGTTAACTGCTAGTTTACATTTCATATATTGCTTGTGTATATTCTATTTTCTCTATTCCAAAACTACAGTCTGAGTTGTATTTGGTATGAAATTTAAGGAATATTGATATTATATTGGTAGTGGGTAAAAAGTACGGATAAAATACTTTTTCGTCCTTGTGAGTATATTAGTGTAAAAAGTAGTGACAATTGTGTAATAATAATGAAAAAGTAAATATAATTTTCTAGTGATATAATTATTTATGGAAATGAGACTATTATTTTAAGACAGACAAAAATGGTAAATAAGACTATTGTATTAGAACAAAGGGAGTCACTATTTTTAATAGTATTTCTTTTATCCGTAATTAATTTACTAATCCCTCCGTCCCATATACCATGTCCACGTTGCCGTTTAATATTTTTAGAGAGAAGAGTATGAGTATTAATATTTTTAAAAAAATGCAAAAAATATGAATATAGTTAAGTACATTATACGGGAATGAAGAAACAGACTGTGTTGCCAGCGTGCCCAGCACGTGACCCTACTAATATTAAAAGCGTAACAAACAAACAGGTGGTCCTTGATCGCCAGTCACCTTCCGGGCCGTACGGACAATGAAATCAAGAATTATTGGAACTCTCATCTCAGCCGCACGATCTACAGGTTCAGATCCCTACGCTTAGGATCCAACCGTCGAGATTCAGACACGCGTCCTGGGCCCCTACAGGGTCATGTCTTGAAAGAGAAACCTACAACTGTGGAAATGGACGGCCCGACCCGAACGGGCGAGAAAGCCGTAATAAATGCAACAATCAATTGTAAGGGAGCGGCTCCGCCGGAAAATGACTTTCCGGCGGAGGCGACGGCGGCGTTGGGCGGAGATGTGGAGGAGGAATGGTGGCGTTATGAATGCGATAGGTTTTTTGAGCATTGGAATTATTATTATTATTACAGCAATGGCGGTTTTGATGACATTTCGGTTTGGTTTTAGCTTAGGGTGTGTTTGACTGGGGTTTGGATTTTAAATCGGGATTTTAATAGTAAAAATTTTTCGATATAAATAATTGTTGATGTGATGTTTTGAATATAATATTGATTTTTAATATAATATAAAAAATAAAAAATAAATATTTAATTTGATATTTTTTTTTAAAAAAAAATTTGAATAATTAATAAAGTTTGGGGAAAATCCCCCAAATAAACACTCCCTTAAGGTATTGTTATGATTATACGGCCAAGCTAGAAGGAGAATAAATAGGGGAGCTAAATTTTATTTTTTCAAAATTTGATATATTGAAAAATCGGTATGATAAATATATATCTTGATGCAGTACCAAAATTTTGAAACAGTATCAATATGAACTACTGTTTCGTATCTAAATACTAAAATTTAAAATAATAATTTTGGTATCAATATATTAAATTCTTTATATATACAAATATAGTAAAAGTATCAAATTATATAGTATCGTACTAAAAAAAAAATTAATATGATATTATATCACACCAAAAATTGAATATACTCTACTAAAAAAATTTCAGTATTTTTTAAAATAAAAATTTTTGGCAAAAAATTTTTATATATCAAAATTTTTAATTTTTTTTTTAGTATAAATAATTTTAAAATTATATAAATTAAAATAAAAAAAATAAGGGGTGGGTTGGGACTCCAAATGAATTTTTTGAAGTTTTGTAGTAAATTAAAAAAAAATAATATTATTTTATTGATTAGTGAAAATATCTAAGAAATTTTGATATTTTTGTACTTTTATGTATAAAGTATATGTTAATTTTATATTTGTAATTTATGTCAATGTTAGGACATTTTGTATTAGTACATAATTATTTTTATTAAAATAAAAAAATATTACTTCGAAATTAGACGGATAAAAATGATATATTTTTTTTAGATTGAAAGGGAAAAAATATATTTTTTTTCTAGTTTTTAATATTATTCATATTGAATAAATAGATTAATATAATAATAGATGAATTAATTTATGAAAAAAAAATATAGAATTTATTATTTTACTAATTGATTATCGAGTGATTAGAAATACTATATAATTAAAAAAAATAGTTTTAATGAAAACACTAAAATAATTTAATTTTAGTTTTATTGTTAAAAAACATTAATTTTGATCAATTATATAAAATAAAAAAAATTAATTAATTCTTTTTTATCCACAGCTTAAAAAAATTAAAAAAAATATTGACGTGAACATAACAAATATGATGTAACATCTATTCTGAATGGAATAATTAGAAATATTTTTTCGACTTACATACTTTCTACGGGGATAATGATATTTTTATAGAGTATTCGAAATATTTGTTCATTATATTACTTATACTATTGTAATATTACATTAATTCACAGATATTCGATTTTTATTTGTACTTTTTAAATGAATAAAATAAATTATTTCAATCTTTCATTTGAAAATGAAAAGAAGGGTGTGGATTGATAGAAATACAGTTATGGGCTACGCTTATTCTTAAATAAATATTCATACTTTTGACTCACTTTAAATGCTTCAATATAGATCAATTAAAACTTTTATAAGAATTTTTTATTGCCTAAATCATATTTTGTTTGACTAATATTGTTATTTTTCTATAAGAATTTTAAATTATGATTTTTAAGATGTACTTTTATGGTTAGTCACTTCGTATCATTCATAAATTATACTTCATCCGTTCACACACAAAGTAAATATTTATTTTTGGCGCGATGTTTAAGAAATAATAGTATTTTAACTATAGATGGTAGTTAAAAATAGTAAAATGATATTTCTGCCTTTGTTTTTTTTTGTGTAAAAGTAATAATATGATGTAAAGTAAGGATATTCGTGAAAAATCGTGAATAATTTATTGAAATATTTACTTTGTAATTGGATGTTCCAAAATAGAAATATATATAGTTTCTAAATGGACGGTGGGAGTATTATCTAATTTGTTGCAAATTTGTCTCAATGACTATATTTTTATTGTCAATATTGACTTTTATTATATTTTGATGAATAGAAAATAAAGTTACAATGTACAAATTAGTGCATGCAAGGTAGGTAAAAAAAAAAAAAAATGTCTTGTTGAGAATTGGCACGAGAATTAAGGAATAATAGTATTTAATTGAAAGTAGGTATAAAGTATGATATAAAAGACTATAATGTCCTTGCTTTTTGAAGGATTTTAAAAAATAAATTAGAGTAATAATTAGGGATAGTTTGGAAAAGTAGGAATAATTTTGTTATAAAGTAGAGACCACAGTTACTAAATAAGGAAACAAGACAATTGTTTTGGGACGGACGAAAATGAAAAAACAAGACAACTCATTTGGGGCGGAGGGAGTATTTCTTTAGCCAAGTTTATCCAAATTATACTATTTATACTTTGCGTTTTTCGAAAAAAAATACATTTTTTTTTTCTCACAAAACATCCTATCAAACATTATTTTCATATCAAAATCAAACCAATTTTTTTCCAAACTCATCCAAAAGAAATATGGAATTAAAAAGAATAAATTTGTGAAACTAGAGAGAAAATAAAATAAAATTAATGTATAGAAAGTGAAAAAAAAAATTGAATATAGAATTGAAATTTTATATATTATTTCTATATTATATTTATATAACTTTTTAAAATTTATATACAACACCCAATATTTTACTATTTTTTACACATTTAACTTATATAACACAATATTCTATTTTTACACTCAGTAAATTTTTTCGAGTTTCAAAGACCAACAATATATACTGTATTTCTCCAATGAAAAATATAATGAATTCTTTAGAGTTTTCAATTTATACGTCACTCATAATCACCTAATTGATATGCTATCGGTATCCGACCAATTTAGGTCAAAATTTAAATAAATAATTTAAAATTAAAATAAAGCAAGACAAACTTTAAAAATATATATATACAGCGGCGTTCATTCATGGGTTTTTGTTCTTTTTTGTGCATTTACTAGGTAGGGTTGCAGCAGCACATACTAGACTCACGTGTTTCGAAATACGACGTCGTTTCAGCCAACAACCGTGAACCGAATTCAATGCACCATGTGCTCTGCACGTGACAGCCACGCTCAACCCTTCCCGTCGACCGTCCAGCTCTGCCGGCAACTCGCCACCGTTTTTTTTTTTTTTTTTTTAAATATGTATATTATAGGAATTATTCAAAATTCTTTTTTACTACTTAAATATATTTATATACATTTAAAAAATTTTATTTATTTATATATTAATTTATATTAATTATTAATAAATATTTATATTTTTTTTATTATTATTATTAACCAACTCCAACCCGCAGTGGGTTGAGAAAAAAATGGGGGAGGGCTCCAACTCACCCCCAAATGCCCCCTATTTTTTAAGTTTTTGGAGTAACACGGTATCTCGACTCTATTTTTGGAGTGGAGATTTTATGGTATTTTGTGGTATTTTTGTTATTTTTAGAGTATACTGTGTAATTTTATTTTTTAGAAGATGATATATAATTTTATTTTTTAAAAAATGATATATAATTTTATTTTTTGAAAAATAATGTATAATTTTATTTTTTAAATTAATATATAATTTTAATTTTTGAAAAGTGATATAAATTTATTTTTTTTAAAAAATGTGTAATTTTATTTTTTAAAAGTGATATATAATTTTATTTTTTAAGTGATATGTAATTTTATTTTTTATAAACTAATGTAATACTTTTATTTTATAAAAAGTTATGTATAATTTTTTATTTTAAATAGTTATTTGTCTCCATAGTATTTAAGTATTTATTTAAAATTATTTTATTTGTAATAGTTATTAATTATAAATGTTAATTTTAATATATATAATTTTTAAATAAAATATAAATTATATATGTATGGATTATAATGTAAAAATAATTAAAATTGGAGCACAAATTATAAATATGAAAAGTTATATAAAATAATATAAAAAAAGAATATACATGGAATATATTTTTAAGAGTAAAAATTGAAGTTTATGGTTGGAGTAGAAATATCAACTGCAGAAATGGAGTGACGGTTGGAGATGGCCTTATACTATAATTTTATTTTCTATAAAATAATATTTATTATATACTATATCCGTCCGGCTCTAAGGGTCTCATTTACTTTTTGCGTGTTGATTTTTGAATATTAATTTTTATATCAAAACGTAATACAAATAAAAAAAAATTACAAAAATACTTTCATTAATTTCTTATAATACTAATATAAAATAATTTGTACAAAAAATTATACAAATATAAGGATATTTTTAATGTTAAGTACAATAACATAAAAGGTGAATGTGGCCCTTAGAGACTGACGGATAAAATATATTTTATTAACTATAATTATTTAAATTAATTCAACGCATATTTTTTATTTTTTTAGGGTGTGTTTCTTTAGGGGATTTTGAGAAAATTTGAATTTGGATTTGATTTTTATTTGAATTTTGAATGAGTTTGAATTTATGCATTTCTTTTGTATTTGAGTTTGGGTTGGTTTGGAGAGTTTTGATGCCTATTGATTTGATGATAATGAATGTAATAATATAAATGTGATTAATTTATATAATTTAATTATAAATTTATTTTATATTTATATATATATTTATAATTTTTTATTTATTTGTATTATAAAAAATTTTATTTTCTAAAAAATAATATATATTGTATATATTTTATTAAATTATAATTATTATAATATTTTTTTATATTTATAATTTTAAAAAATTAGAAAAAAAAAAAAAAAAGGGTGACGTCAGGCCTGTCCCCCCAAAACCAAAAGTGTTTCTGCCCAAACTTGGAGAGCAAAAAGACACCCTTAATCATATATTCTCTCCTTTTTATATTTATTTATCATATTATTTTTTTTCACAAAATTTTAAACATATTAATATTATATTGAAATGTGATATAAATAAAAATAAAAAAATAAATTAATTTTATTAGTATTGTATAATATAAAAATAATAATATTTATATAATATTATATTATAAATTTAAAAAATATTTATAATATTAAATATATAATACGGTTGTTAAAAATAAAAATAAAAATTTTACTATAAGAAGGATCAAAATAAATAATTTATTAAAAGATAAAAAAAATATATTATATCATAGATTAAATAAATTATTTTTAATTCAATTTTCAACTCAATAATTCAATATGGAACACACCTTTAGTTTTTCACCCTCCGACCGGGATGGGGTTGGACGGTGTTTTTTTTCTTTTTTAATTTAAATTTATTTTAAATTTTCATTATTGTCCCTTTTATTTTATTTATTTTTACTAATTATTTAATTTATAGCGTATATATTTATATTATAAATATATATTATTTATTTATTTAATATTTATTGAGATTTATATATAACTATATGATGCTTTAATTGAACATATATGAAAATAGTACAGTAATTCTATTGAGTAGTTATGTTGTATTTATTCGTCCTAACTCAAGGTATCATTTTTACTATTTTCGTTCGTTCTACTTAAAAATATTTATATGTTATTTTTAAAAAGATAATCATACATAAATATCAAAATACTCTTAAATTTTACCTAAATTACAAATATAACATTACATATATAGTTACTTTATACATAAAATAAAATGGCAAAATTGTCAAAATATCTTACAAACACTTCTATTAACCAATAAAATATTACTCCATCCGTCCGCTAAGGGTCACATTTACGTTGTGCGTAATTATACTTAATATTAAAAAGGGTAAACTATTTTTTTAGTCCCATAACTGGACCCGCTTATCATTTTAGTCTCGTAAGTGGAGCCTGTCGCAAACTAGTTCCATAAGTAAAGAATTTTCGCTGTTTTAGTCCTCCGGCGCCGGAGGTGTCGCTGACCTGGCGGACACGTGAATTTTTATTTTTAATTTTTTTTAAAACTTATTTTTAATTTTATTTGTATTTTTTTTATTTGTTACAATTAAAAAAAAATGGAAAAAAATAAATCCACGTGTCCGCCAGGTGCGTCACCTCCGGCGAGCCACGCGGGTGTCTCCGGCGTCGGAGGACTAAAACAGCGAAAATTTTTCACTTATGGGACTAGTTTGCGACAGGCTCCACTTACAGAACTAAAATGATAAAAGGGTCCAGTTATGGAACTAAAAAAAGAGTTTACCCTATTAAAAATATTCACATATTTGTATAATTTTTTGTGCAAATGTTCTTCTATTAGTATTATAAGATATTAATTGAAGTATTTTTGCAATTTTTTTTTATTTGTACTATGTTTTGATATAATAATTAATATTCAAATATTAACATGTAAAAAAAGTAAATGAGACTTTTAGAGTGGGACGAGATAGTATTATTTAGTAATATAGTGCGAAACCCCAAATTATACAAATAACTCTACTTATTATATTTAAATTAAAACATTTGTTCACATAGCAAAACATTCTTTTAACAAAAACAAGTGTATCTGTTTGGATTATTTGATTTTGTATTTTAACTTGAATACGGGTGTATTACTGTAGATACGAGAATTTAGGTAAAGTATAATTAGTAAGTAACTAAGAAGTGTATTAGTAAAAATAATTATAGATTAAGATTAAGATAAATAAATAGTTTAATTAAAATTTTAAAAAATTATAAAATTTAAAATGCAATTAAAGTGCATAATTATATTTTCAAAAACAGAAAGGACAAATTATGTGGGTCGGAGGGAGTAATATTTTAAATATAAAAGTTTATGTTTATTGTAATACTTCCTCCGTCACTAGATAAATATATTTTTTGATATTGTTTTATTGTCCAAACACAGAGTATTATTTTTAGTATGTATTAGTCTTCACTGCACATAGAGCCGACAAATGAGTCGATTCGTGTCAGGTTCGTGTTGACTCGTGTTGATCCGTGTATATAATTAAGTCTAATTTTTTTATTTAAATTAAATAATTTTTTATTTTGTTGTCGTGTTATGTTAGTTTTTATTGGTTTGAGTGTAAATTATGTTGAATTATTTAAAATTGAACTTAGTTTAAATTAATTTATGAAAAAATTATTAAATTATAATTATTTTATATATATAATAAATATATTAATCAATATTAATATATTATAATCGGGTTGTCATGTCGGGTTCGAGTTGAGAGCCTCAACCCTAACCCGATCCGTTTATTATTGTGTCGGGTTCATGTCAACTCGTATACATAATCGGATTGAAATCTTTCAACCAAACCCAATTATTTCGTGTCGGATCGTATCGGATTGTCGTGTCGGGTCAGTTTTTGCCAGCTCTAACTGCACATTATAAATACCCTTTATTTACATTAATACTCTCATATTAATTTTACACATTATAAAATAAAATAAATATTAAAATATAATATTTATAATTGGATTAAAAATAGTAAATGTTTATTTTCTAAGTGGACAAAATAATATAAAATTTTTAAAAATATATATTTAATTTGATATTTTTAAAAGAAATTTTTTGTGGATAATAATAATAATAATAAAAAATCAAATCATCCAAACAAACATAATCATATAATGGCTCTGTTTCCTCATTATTATTTTAAGTTAAATATTTGATTTTTTAATAAATATTTGGAGTTTTTGTTTGACTTTTGTAATGTATTTAAATTATTTTTTTGGATATTTTATAATGTGTATTTGAAGTTTTTTTGCTTTTGTAATAAAAAAATATTTTATATTATATTAAAGGAATCACAATTGAAAATAATATCTGAAGAACATTGGAAAAAATTAGGGCCGTGTTTCTTCCGGAAGAAGAGATACGGAAAAGTTGAATTTAATTTCCAGTCAATTTGAATTTTAAAATAAGTTTGAATTTGTGTTGTTTATATTTATATTTAATTTTAATTTAAAAATTTTAATATGTATTGATTTAATAGATAAAAAATATGATAATATAAATTTATAAAATTAATAATAGTGTATTTTAAATATTAAATTGTGTTAATTATATATAAATATTTGTATTTTATTTATATATTTATATTATACTCCCTCCGTCCCAGATATCAGATACAGTGGTTGTTATACTGTAGGTACGGTATTTTAGAAGATGTGTAATTAGTAGATAATTAAGAATATATTAGTGAAAATAATTATCCTATAATATAAATAATTATAAATTAAGATTAAGATAACTAATTAGTTTAATTTTAAAATGAAATTAAAATGTGTAATTATTTTCCAAAAAAGAAAAGTGACATGGTATCTGAGACGAAGGGACTATAAAATTTTATTCAAAACACAATAATATTTATTATATTTTTTATTAAATTATGATTTATAAAATAATAAAATAATTTTTTTACCGTAATTTTGGACCGTGCATAGCTGTATGTCCACTTAGGCATCTCCGACGGACGCCAAATCATGGGCCACTAGTGGCGTTTCTATTTTTTTTTTTTTTTAAAAAAATATTTTAATTTTTAAATTTATTTTTTATTTTTCTAAATTTTATAAAAAAAATTATTTTAAATTATAAAAATAAAAAATTATTTAAAATAAACCCGCAACGCCCTACTCATTTATTCATTATGCAGAGTGTTGGCAAAGTAATTTTTTACCAAACCATTGCGAAAGAAACTTAAATGTGTGAAACAAACAATGATACAAACTTAAAACTTTATTCAAAAATATATGAATCAGATGAAAAACAAAATAAATAAAAATACCTAAGTCTCCAAACATCTAACAATAAAACACAAAAAAAAAAAAAAAAAAATTCCACAATCAAATTCATCATCATCATCTATGAACCCTAAATCAACCAAAAATTTTTGCCATGTACATTTTCGCGTACCTACCGTGCCCGAATTCCCCGTCGATCCGCGCCCGAGAGACGAGCAAACGCGCACCTTCGCCTCTCGCAAGCTTGTTCAAAGGAGCCCGGGCATCGAATCGATCACCTACCAATGCAAGCTACCACAAACCCGAATTTTAATTGTTTCCCCAATATCATATCATGCCAAAGTTACATTAAACCGATTTAAAAAAAAAAAAAAAAAAAAAAACCTCATAGACGAAGAAGATTATCCGGCCGGGCCCTCGATCCACAGTGTCGTCGAATTTTCAGCTTACGGCCGTTTATGTACATTGGGGATCGAAGACTCGTCGGATAACAAACACGAACGCTTTGAATACTAACTACACGGGGAGATTGTCTAATTGGTAGCCATCGAACCCGAACTCACTCTCGACCGGCGGCCCCATGCCTTCTTGGTGCTGTAATGAAAACGATAATCGATTAAAACTGTTTTCCGTAAACTCGATTAGTTTCGATTACGATCGTATACCTGCTTGAGAAGTGCGCTCATTAGATCATCTTGTCCGAACTGATCGGGAAGAAGACCGCCTTGGAAACCCATTTCGGGGACCCGTTCCGTCTTTATTCTTGGCGTATTATCGCTTAGTGACGACGGGGGCGGCGGGACGAGATTCGTCGAAGATAATCCGGGTTGGACGAGGACCGAGGGTTGAACGTCGAGACGGCCGTGCATATTCATGTGCTGAGGTTCAAAATTTGACGTCGCAACGCTGCTCGGGAAACTCCAGCCGTCGGATCGCTTCGGATTCAGATCAGTGAACACGTCGTAACTTTGAAGGAAGCTTCTCGGACCTTTCGATTCCGACGAAAAATCGCCCTGCAGCATCCCTTTAGAATTTAAAGCTGGAAGAACTGAATTACTCACATGTGGGAAGGTATTCGACGAAAACTTCGGCTGCGGTACACCGTCGATCCCGTTACGTTGGCTCGCTGACAACGGCATGTTCATGATATGGCTACCGCCGACGACATCGTTTATGACCGGGGGCCTCGGCTGCGGCTGAACCATCTGTGTTAACATCGAATTGCTCTGATTCATGCTACCGTAAGGCTGCGACGATTGGTTAAGAACCGCGAGCTGTTTCGAGTCCATATTCGTCGGGATTCCGTGTAGCAAATTCATTTGCTTGCCGCTACTGTTGAGTTGCTGCTGCCCGTCGATAAACCGGATCTTTGGAGCGTCGAAGCTGAAAACATTTCGCTGATCGACGACGGGGACGGATAGAGGTGACTTGTTCGTCGGTCGGCTGAGCGTCGCGGCGTGAATCGTCGCAAGACTTTGCGGCGGGAGTTGACCGGAAGAAGCCAGAGCTTGAAGATCGAGGGCGTTGAATGAGGTCATCGCACCGAACGCCGGATCGGACGGCCCCATGAACGAATTCCCAAGCCCGTTTTGGTTCTGCCCGCTGAGTCGTCTGAGATAAAGTCGATACTTCTGCGTTGATTGATTCGAAGTTAGGACATTTACGGATCGAAAGAACGGAAATTTTAAATTTGTCGAACCTGAAGGTGGCTCGCGACATTCTCTCGTGTAAGACCCGGGACGTTCATCAGCTCCAAGATTTTCTTCGGCACGGCCTCTGTATCGAAGAACAGAATTCAGATAACGTAAAAAAAACCGAAACGATAGTAAAGTAAACGACGAAAACTCACTTTCGATTCCGAGCTGATTAACGGCAGTTACGAATTGCTGATGCAGCTCGACCGACCAAACGACACGCGGTTTCTTCAGCGTCGATGAATCATCTCTTTCTTCGGCTTCTTCTTCCTCGTCCTTCCGTTTCTTCGAACTTCGCCAATTCCCTTCGTTAGCCGAGGAGGAATAATCGATGTCGTCAGCCGGTTTCTGCTGCCGACACCCGTCGTCTGCGCTACCCGACTGTTCGATATCCTTGTCCTTCCACTCGTGCTTCTTTTTACGAACAAGGTGTTGCCATATGTTCTTCAGCGCCTCCATACGAACGGGTTTGATGAGATAGTCACAAGCGCCGTGAATGACGCCTTTCATCACAACGTTCGGGCTGTCATCAGCCGACATCACTGAACAATCAAATCGACAAGTAGAGTTCATCAGATTTAATATTCGAAAAATGCAGATTAAAAACAGCGAATCGGCTACTTACTAATGACGGGTAGATCCATCTCTAGTCCGACATGTTCGAGCAATTTGAATCCATCCATGTCCGGCATGTGGACGTCGCTGATTACAACGTCGAATCCGTCTTTGTTATCCCTTAGTAACTTCAACGCAACCTCGGCTTTATTGCATTTTGTAACTGGTGAAAATTTTGATACAAATTTATCCATTAGAACAGCTTCAAAAATGATGAACAGCATACCAAAATCAGCAAATGAACTTTCCTATTATCAATTGGTGAGTGAATTTAAAGTAACAGAACTTACAGATACAAATTTATCCATCAGAACAACTACAAAAATGATGAACAGCATGCCAGCCAGAATTAAGGCTATGAACTTTCTATTATCAATTGGTAAGTGAATTCGAAGTAACAAAAGTTTCAACTACTGCAATAGAATAAAATCCCCAAATTCTAGGGTTTCTGCTCAAGATCTAGGTCAACTACTATCTTAATTACATGAACAGATTCTTCACATCTCCCTAAAATCTGAATGATTTTCACGAAATTCAATCAATCATTCCCCCAATCTATCAAACAAATCAAATTGGAGAACTAAATTAACAAAAAGAAAATCGAACAGAAAAAGTTCTGCGATAAGATCTGCGACGAAACAAGAGAGGTAATATCACTCAAAAATGATTACAGAAATTAAGACGCTCGAATTCTCAAGTAACTAACGAATTGAAGAAGAAACACAGAAGCTAATCGGAAAAAAAAAAAAAAAAAAAAAAAAAAAAAGAAGCAGAATCGCTCCTTATCGATAAACAAACGCGTGATTTCTGCGTGTGTTAATTTCGATTTTCCTACCTTCGTAGTGGCATTTCCAGAGCATCTTCTCCAAGATCCTCAAGCAAGTCGGGTCATCATCGACAACAAGCACTCTAAGCCCCGCCGGAAACTGGTCGGAGACGCCTCCATCGCCGCCGGACTTCCAGGAACCACCCGAACTAGCAAGCGGCATCTGATTCACACCGAGATTCATCTTATTCCTCTCAAATTTCAACCCCAGGCAGCTCTCTCGCACGCTACTTCCACACAATCAACACGCCGCAAAGCACATCCCAAAGCCTCGATTCATACCCCCACAGTCAACGAAATTAGGGCAAACAAAAAATCCGAATTCTCACTGCAAAACCTAGAAACGATGGAGGGAGGAAGTAAAGGAGAATATAAATCTTCCTGCTTTTTATATGTGTGTATGAGATTGAATCAGCCATTGAAGCAGTCCGTCCTTCCTCTTGATTTCCCAAATTCAATTTTTTCGAATTAATTAATTAATTTTTTATTTTTATTTTTATTTATTTTATTTTTTTGATTTGATAGTGGATCACTTCGTTGAGTGTGGATACAGCTCACCTATGAGCTTAACTAACCCCACGCCAGCCATATTTATTTTTATTTATTTATTATTTTTAATTAAATGGGAAATTATTTATTATTTGTACAAATTATATATTTGGACATTATATTACAGAAATTTTCTTACCAAATATTATACAGCACAGGTCATAATATCTAATTAATTTTAATTATTTTAGAAGGTTTTTTTTAAATAAAATTATTACTGTCTTAATAAAGGAATGAATTAATTATATCATAAATCATAAGATTTTCTTACCTTAACTATAAACTTCTCCATTTACTCGTAATTATTTAATTACTTTTTAAATTTTAATTTTGATATATATTTAATTTTTTATTACTCCCTCTGTCCCAAATACAGTGTTTGCTACACTATAGAAACAGTATTTTAGGAGGGGTGTAATTAGTAGATAATTAAGAATATATTTGTGAAAATAATTATCCTATAATATAAATAATTATAAATTAAGATTAAGATAACTAATTAGTTTAATTAAAATTAAAGAAAATAAAATTAAAAAATTTAAAATGAGATTAAAGTGTGTAATCATTTTCCAAAAACGGAAAGTGACATAGTACGTGGGACGGACAGAAACGGCAATGTGGATATGGTATCTGGAACGGGGGGAGTATTTTTTTTCAAGTCATAATAATTTTAAATATAATAAATATAAATCAATTTAATTAAAATTATAATATATTATATGTATGATCACTCAAAACTCTTTTATTTTTATTTTATCTACTTTTAAATTTTTACATCTTTTATAAAGATTAATTTATGTTAATTTCATGAACATATATTTTTTATTTAATTATATTATATAAAATTATATTCTTTATAAAATAGTATTATTTTTTTATATATTTTATTGAGATAAAGTATTTGAAATATTTAAAAATATATTTTTAATTTAATTTATCATATATATATTAATTTTTATTTTAAAGAATCAATAATATTATTTATATGAAAATACAATAAAATAATATTATAAAATTTTATTATTATTTTATTAAATACCATATTTTTAACCAAACACACCATACATTTAATATTGAAATAATTATTTATATTTATATATAAAATAATCGATGCTTAAATTGAAGTGAACACGTTCTTGCAGAATGGATGACATGATTTTGTTTGACTTGTGGAGTATTTTAATTTACTATTGCCTATTTAAATAAATAAATAAATAAATAATTATGAGTATGCTTGAGTTCATTTGTATTTTTATTTTTGTAAGACCAAAATATTGGATTTTTTTCTTTTGGTGATAATTTTTTTATAAATATCATTAAAAACTATAATATAAGCACATATTTGGACAATATATAATATATATATACAAAGTGACGAAATCAGCAATAAAAGTTCGGGGGTAAAATTTAAGGAATATTGATATTATATTGATAGTAGGTAAAAAGTATGGGTAAAAAACTTTTTTGCCCTTGTGAGTGTATAAATGTAAAAAATAGTGACAATTGTGTAATAATAATGAAAAAATAAGGGTAGTTTTATAGTAACATAGTTATTTATGGAAATGAGACTATTCTTTTGGGACGGACAAAAATGGTAAATATGACTATTGTATTGAGACGGAGAAAATACTTTTTTTACTATAAAAAATAAAATTTAAAGACTAAAAATATAAATCAACAAACATATATAATTTTTATAATCACATTACTATATTATTATTTTTTACATAAAAATATATATATCTTTTACTTATTCATAAAAAATACAAAATGAACAAATCCTTATTAGTTTATTTTTGTATTTTTTGGAAAAAAAAATATATATATTGAATGGTTAGTAAATATGATATATATATATAATGTATACATTCCCTAACTTTGATTTAATGTGAATTTGAAAAAAAATAAAAATTAATCTTCAATATATTTACAAAATAATAATCTTCAATATATTTACAATTTGTTTGGTTGTTGTTTAAAATTAATTTGAAATATAATATTGATTTAAATTTGTATTTAAATAATATTCCAATTTAATTATTCTATAAGAAAAATTAATATATTTTTATTACAAAACGTATATAAATGAGTAATATTGATTTCAAATTGAAATCACAATTGTTTGGGGGTTTGGATTTGGGGTTGGGATTTGAATAGTAAAAATTTTGAATTTGAATAGTTGTATGATGTGATATAAACAAGGGTTGATGTGATGTTTTGAATGAAAAAATGATTTTGAGTATAATATAAAAAATAAAAAATAAGTGTTTGATTTAATATTTTTTGGAGGAAAAAATGAGATGAATAGTGGACGTAAAATCCAATCGTCCGACAAACAAACCCTTGGGGATATGTGTTTCTTTGAATTTAAATTTTATATTTAAATAATATTTGATAAAATATTAAGTGAAATTAAAAATATATTTTTTAAAAAATATATATACATAGTTTGAGATATTAATTTAAATGTCTGAGCATGTTATTTCCTATAAGAAGAAATAATTTAATGTAGATTATGGCAATAATAAGATTAGAAATAGATAGGATTTCTTTGGCTTTAGTTTGAGGTTCAATTTTATTTTTATTTTTATTTGAATTTGAATTTAAATATTATTTGAATTTAATATTTTATGTTTTTATTTTTTATTTTAATGTAAATAATGGTTGTATTTGATGTTTTGTGTATATATATATAAATAATTATATATTTATTTTTTGAAAACTACAAAGAAAATAAATTGAAAGGGAAATGGTATTTGTTCTCTTTGATTTATTTCCCTTTACAATCTAATAAAAATTTTATTAAAAAATATTGTATTATAAAAATATTATATTCGATCAATAATTATTTTATCTGATAAATACTAAAAAAATACAACACACATAAAATATTATATATATATATATATAAATCAGATCAAACACAATTTTAAAACCAAACCAAACAAATTCTTTTTTTCTTTTAAAAATATTAAACTAAATACTTTTTATTATTATTATTTCTTGATATTAAATTGAAATTTATTTTTGTATTCTATATACGAATTAACACTTATTCATATCATATTAAATAATTATTAAAATTTAAATCCCAAATAATTGCAAAATTTAAATAATTTATATTGTTTGCTTGAAGTCTTAAAAGTTTTTAGAAATAATAAAAAAATAAGTATTTGATATAATATTTTATAAAATTATAATAAATATAAAATTTAATATTTTTTAAAAATATATTATTAATTAATAATGACAAAACTTTTTAAAAAATATGAATGTAAACAAAGTTTGAAATTTTTTAAGTAACCATAGCAATATTCTATGGTAAGAATTTAAAAAAAACAAATAAATAATAACCCTATCACCAACAACAATATATGATTTTTTTTTCTTAATTTGTTGGTATTAGGTTCGGTCGGAGCGCATTTTCGAATAGCGGCTGCGAGTTCTCACGTCATAAAAAAAATTAAAAAATAAAAAAATAATATATATATATATATATAGTCCCGTTAGAGATGGGTTGGTGGTGTGAGAGTTGGATTTGTGACTGTGAGGTCATGTGTTCAAACTCTCGATGTCTCAGGTCATGAGTTGCGCGGGGATTAAGAAAAATAATTTAATTCAAAACACTTTTTTATATTATTTTTATATGTTCCACTTTAAAGTATTCATTTTATTTTTTTAAATAAAATTAATTATACACTAATACCAAAATATTCTTAATTAAATTACAAATATATTGTTACATATACAATTACTTTATACATAAACTCAAAGGCCAAAAATGTAAAAAGTAAATTTACTTTGACAAAATTAATAATGAAGTAAATTTAATAGCGAACAAACTAAAAAGTAAAAAGTAAATTTGGCAGAGCGAGAAAATGTCTTTATATGATATGTTGTATCTCATTTATCATATAATGAGAGTTAATGTGTTATATTTATATTATATTGATATAATTAGGGTGTGTTTGTTTGAATGATTTAATTAGATTTTCATTATTCATGCAATATTTTTTATCCAAAAACATCAAATCAAATACTTATTTTTTATTTTTCATATATACTAAAAATCAATTTTACATTCAAAAACATCAAATCAATTCTTATTTATATCACATTATTCAACTATTTCCTCCGTCCTATTGAAATGTTGTCATTTTCTATTTTCGTCCGTCCCAAAACGAGGTTACCATTTCCTAATTTAGTAATTGTACTACATACCTAACATAATAAATATCCTTCAAATTTACACTATATTACACAAATGTCACAACTTTTATATTACATAATACGAATAGGGACATTTTTGTCTTTTTCACTACAATTCATTATAAAACTAACATTAAAAAATTCTACGTGCAAAAAATAAACAGTAACCTTGCACCGGAAAGGAGGGAATATTTAAATTCAAATTTTTTATTATTCAAATCTCAATTCAAAATTCAAATCCACGGACAAACACACCCTTAATGTATTGTCTCCCTTGCTGCTGTGTTGTCAAAGCTGTACTAAATTTTATACTTCAGTACAATAACCGCCGCCTATCAACATATGAATAATTAAGACATGATCATTATCATTTGCTTGTTAATATTAATTGTCAATTTTAATTATAGTTTGGCAAAAAAGAAATACCCTAACCCTATTTGCTTCTATCAAACCCTACACTAATTATAAATATGTGGTGCATAATATACACCTTTTATATTTGTCTCCTAAAATATTTTTATTTTTTATTTAGTAAAAATTTATATCATTTTTATATTTTTTTAATATAAAAAATAAAAAGTAACTAATTTTTTAATAAAAATTTCATATATTAAAACTCGTACAAAAAAGTTTGGAACACAAAGTTAGGAGACAAAGGAAGTATAACATATTTTGATAA